TACAGGATGTACTAATACTGTGTACTGGAAAATGTAATGTAGGTGTGATTACTATTATTCGCATTTCACACAGTGAAAAACTGTGATTATTAGTAAGTATCAAATTGTCCCTCAGTTCAGGTGTTCTGTGGTGGGTAAGAGTGCCATTTACTATAAGAAGTTGTAAAGGTAGCAGTCAATGCGCGTGCAATCATAATTCCAAAACCGCCTGCCATTTAAAATCACAATGCCGTCTTCCTTGGATACAGATTTTGGCAGGTTTGGAAAGGGGCCCAACGAGGGATGAGAACAGCTCCTTTCTGTGAACCTGATAGTTCCTCTTTCCTTTTGTTCCTATCAAAGTGACCAATCAGAATTACCCCAGCATTCCACAGGCGTGTTCTCTGTAATTTAAAAATAAAAGATTAGAGGTACCCTCAGCTTGATTTCTGATGACTTCCTGGTAGTTGTTGTGGCAACAATACAGAAGCAGTTTACCACTGCTTCTTCCAGGATGTTTCTTACGTATGTATTTCCCAGTCTAGCTGACAGATACAATATAGATTTCTTGGTGGTCTCTCATCCAAATGGTAACCAGGGCCAGCCCTGTTCAGCTTCTAAGCTCAGGTGTATTAGGAACTGGCACCTTGAAGAATAGCATGTAGACAATTGTGTTCTCTAAGATTTCTTGTTTGCCAAAGTTACAGGATGACCTCTGCGTACAAAGACAGCTTACCATTAGAAACAATAGACTAAAAGCTGGTCCTCCCCTCGCGATCTCTGCATTTCGAGGCCAATATAATTATCTAATGTCAGACTGTACCTGGGTAATGTGTTCCGTTGCTTTGCAGTGTTGAGGGATTTGGTGGAGCCCTGGAAAATAAAAAGGAGGAGGGAAAGAAGTCAGCATCTAGCAAATAAGGGTAGAAAAATATCCTTTAAGCAGCAAGACATGAGCCTAATTAATGAAAATATTATGTGTAATGAAAGAGCATTTTAAGAATTAAATAGGAGAATATAAAACACCAATTTTTGGACCCACGCTGCATATTTTACATTTCAAATTAGCGTTGTTTTTTACTGTTAATTCTTTGGGACTTGTTGCTTCATCAATTTTTCCCTTCTTAACCTGAGGGTATCTGAGGCAGCACTTAAGTTGTGCATCTCTGCACTTTTGTGTGTGTGTGTGTGTGTGTGTGTGTGTGCCTTCAAGTCAGTTTTTTGACTCCTGGCAACTGCCTGGACAAGTCCCTGCAGTTTTCTTGGCAAGATTTCAGAAGGGGTTTGCCCTTGCCTCCTTCCAGGGCTGAGAGAGAGGGACTGGCCCAAGGTCCCCCAGCTGGCTTTGTGCCTAAGGCGGGAC